TCAAATTTACAAAGCTACTTTAAAATCCAAATCTATTTATTATTTGTATTATATTTGAATGTTATTATCTGAATTAGACCAAATATATGAGTCCCTCAAATCTCTAAATTTAGTATGACAAAAGTAAAAAGTAAAGGAATTACTGATTCGGATATTTTATTCAGAATCAGTTACAAAAGTAAAGCAGATTCGGATAGTGGATATCAGATGTTAATATATGCATCCACTCCGAATCTAGTCAATTAAAATTGCACTATCCAAATCCTCAAATATCCAATAAAAAAAATCAGTTATACGCAAGTATCCAAAATTGCACTATCAATCAGTGTACCTTAGCTCATTCCCACTTGATGTAGATCTATCATAAAAGTGGATTGTTCTGCAGTCATAAGCTTGCCTCCCATCACACAGAATATCCTATGAAAATGGGAAACACGGTTGACTAACATACAAGATAAAATACTAACAGAGATACATAATTTTAAGAATGAATTTAGCAACAAGCAGAAGTTACCTATCAGTTAATCCAACTGTTGCAACATCACCATGTATAAAACTTCCAATATGAGAAAGGAAAACAATTAAAGCCACCTAGGAAAACCATAAATTTGTAAGTACAATAAATGGATGATTATGTAGGCTACTAAAGTATTTATCTCAAAAGTATCATGAATTTAGTATTTCAAATAGGTACAATTACATAAATCCATCAAAACTTGGCAAATGCACGCACAGAATCATATGCCTTTTACAAATATGTTTCCACTAGAAAAGTACACCAGACTCACCTGCTTTATATAGATGCTTTTCCCTGAATAATTAGGACCAATGATGATATGAATCCTTCCTGAAAATAACATAACCTTATAATTTGGAGGGCGGGAAGAACTTCACAATGAAATATTCAGAACATGCTTTTCTGGATGAGACGCATTTTCCTGATATTTTTACATGACTCAACTTACCTTCATCAAGAATCTTTGTGTCAATAGGGATAAATGTATCTACTGTCATTTCCTGCAAAATATGCCTGTAGACCAGTAGGAGTTGTTATTTCTTATTAGAGAAAAAATGATGTCACTTTTAATAATAATTCTCTTGATAGTTTTTTTAAGAAAGAATTGTAAAATTGTAAGTAGATGGTTCCTTCCTTCCATTTTGTATATCAAGAATGGTCTCCATGGTTAAAGTAGGCCTCACATAATTGTTCTGGCGAGCAACCATTGCCAATGACAACAGGCTAACATCAATATGAAGATATTATTGTTAGTAACACAACTACCTCGGAGACGTTTATGTTTAGAGAAGAGAGAAAAATAGAGATAAAGAGAACCTTTTATGATTCTTACCAATCAAGTTCAGACACAAAGTTCACAGCCTTGTATAATGTGTTGAGAACGTTAATACGTGTGAGACCAAGTCTCTGATAATTGCCCTCTCCATATCTTCGTTAATGAATTTAAGAATTAATGTTACAAAGAAATTCACTAAAATCACGTTACCCTGTTAACTAACATGACCTTTCACTTGCTAGGAGCAGCATGGGATGGTATACAGCTTGTTGAGATGGGTTACTCGATGAAACTTGTAAATATTTTTTTTTTTTTGATAAATGAAACTTGTAAATATATAACACAACTGGACTTAACAACTTATAAATGAATTACAAAGCATACCTAGAACTTTATGATAAATGTCTCCAAGAAGGTTATCTAATTCTCGTGTCTTTGGAGTACGATAAAAGAATCTTTTTGTTTCTCCATCAGTATCAGAGAACTGAGTTTCCATAGCATATTCTCCAATAGATGCAATAAAAGTGGGAATAACAATCACAACCATTTAAATATGATGAAAATATCAACTTAATTAGCCTTGAAAATCTAACATTAGATAATTACTAATTTAGCTAGCCATCTAATGCATGCATCAACTTACTGCAAATTCAAGATCTTCAATTCTCGCTTGTGCAATATCATCAGGTTTCTCTTCAAAAAAAACACATCAAGTATCCAACGACAGACAAACAAAAATTATCATGCTAAATGTTAATTAAGATGTACTTGCAGTAGAGTAAGATTATGTTTAGTATCACAGGAATTGATTTGACACATGGATATGCGAAGAGACACGGACCCACCTATTTGATGAATATAAACAATTCAAGGGGCAAACTTCTCTTTGCATAAATGAGGAACTTGTTCAAGCTCTAACAATGAAACCTGTGAGGATGCTAATTTATGTTAATATACATGTAGGAACCACAAATGGTATTTTTAATTCATAATGTAAATTCTTTATACACTAACAAGCGCCTCTTCCAGAAATTCTTGCAATTCCTCGTATATTTGTCTCAACTCATCCAACTGCGCACAGATGAAAATAACACTAATGTGAGATGTTTTCTGAAAAAAGGAGAAAAACATTCCTAGAAAAAACATGCTATCATCATCACAGAAAATTCAGAAGTAATGCCTAACCTCATCACAAAAACCCTCTTTCACTTGTATCTCATAACCCTTCTCTTTACTTCTACATCTATAACACCAATAACTGTGGAAACCCAAATTGAATGGTGGAATAGAGAACGAGGAATACATGTGGAAACCCTTGATTTTTGAGGTGAATGGCCAAACCAGTGGGAGGTTACAAAGACAAAAAGGGAAAAAAGAGAAAAATGAGGGAAACACATGCGGCGTGAACTTTTGTTAACGAGGGGGGAAGATCAAGCGGAAAAGGATGAAAATAAGGGGGGAAATTAGAATACGACTCCTAAAGATGACACACAATTAAAACTATACTTCGTGTTTTTGTAATTTTGTTGGATTATGACTATTAAATATGACACATATTATTGTAAGTCATAAATCGTTCAGATTTTAAAAAACATGACATTTTTTTATAACACACATGTTTTGCAAGTCATAAATTAGCGTGTATCATCGTTCGTGTGTCATTAAAAATATATTTTCTTGTAGTGCCTATTTCTTAGGGATCACTGCCTCTTTATATAGATTGAATATTAGGTTAATCTTTTAAATGTTTATAATTATGTCCCTTATCAAATTATAAATACAACTTATGTTATCTACATTTTGATTCCATAACACTTTAATACATATAACACATGTAACAATATTAATCACTGAATTTTGTGTCATACTTTATGATAACATTGTACATTATACATATGTACCCACAAATTTGATTTTGATCTAACAATTGTGTCCCACCATTCGAATAAGGTTGCTACAAACGTCTTTCCACACAATACTGAGCCCTTACAAAGTCTAGAACAATTGTTGATATGAATGTTCATTGGAATCTCATTATACCATTTATACTTCCGCCGAAGAAACCGAAACCACAAACCATTCTTACGAGTAACCAGAGTAAAAGCAATTTTCATAATAAATGCCTCATTTTACACCTCTAAATTCATGAAGCCTAGACACCAAAATCCATCGGTTGACACACGTTATTCCATCGAACCTAGAATTCTCCCATTACCAGACCCTCTGCCCCGAAAAAAGCTCTAATCAAGCTTTCCATCTCTAAACAAATCTTCTTGGAAGGATCGTCGTTTGCATCGTATAAGTAGGAATAGTTGCATGAACCGATTTAGCAGGCGTGATAAGCCCAGCAAGAGACGGAGTCTTTGAATTCCAAACAGCCAACTTCTTTTGCACCATTTGTACGAGGTAACGATAAGACGCATTAGTAACACAAGAGTGTAGTAACGGAACCCCCAAGTACTTGCCAAGATCATCAGCCAAGGTAAACCCAAAAGAATTACTGATAGTATCCTGAAAACTCAAAGGAACATTCTTCGAGAAAAAAATTGTGGTCTTCTCCATACTAACTTTATGCCTAGACACGGTACAGAAACGATCAAGGACAGTATGAATAACATCAAATTGCTCTACAGAAGCCTCTGCAAAAAGAATCATATCATCCGTAAAGAATAAGTGAGAAATACCATGACAATGTTTACCAGAACGAAAAGGCTTCCATCGACCCTCATCAATTGCAACATGGATTGCTTGAGCTACTCTCTCCATACAAAGAACAAAAATATACAGAGATAACATATCCCCTTGTCTAATCCCTCGCGAAGGATAAAAAGCTTCCGTCATAGACTCATTCCAAAGAACCTGCGTTTAAATAGTAGATATACAATGCATAATAAGGTTTCGAAGATCAACAAGAATACTAATATCCATCAGAGTATCATTGATGAAATTTAATTTCAATCTATCATAAGCCTTTTCCAAATCAATTTTAATAGTCATCCATCCCCGTTTATCAGTCTTCCTCCGCATCAAATGGAGCATATCATGGGTGATAATGATATTGTTTGTGATACAACGACCCATAACAAAGCTATTTTGAGTATTAGAGACCCATGTAGAAAGCAAAGGCTTTAACAGATTCACAATGAGTTTAGTAACAGCCTTGTATAAAACTGTGCATAGGCTAATAGGACGAAACTCGTGCAAACCTTCAGGGGTAGGAACTTTTGGTAAAAGCACCAAAAGTGTACGATTTATATGAGGCGGTAAATGGCCATCTATAAATATTTCTACAAATAAAAGTGCAAACAGATTCCCCTATGATACTAAATAAAAAGAACGAAACAATAAGAGTAATAAGAAGATGAGATACGAAAATAAAGAGAGAAATTTTGTATTATTAACTCAATATGAATTATGTATAATATTTTTTACTAAACTCTATATTTATATGTATAAGAAGTATATGTTATATAGAACTCTAATTCTAATGGATATTAAAATACTAATAATAAAATAGTTCAAAGTCATATTTATTTAATACATAATTTTCTAACCATAAAACACATTCACATATGCATAAGCAAACATTCATAACAAATTATTGTAAAAAAAAAAAGCATTCATAACAAATTTATGGTTTTTTATGAATTTTTTATTTAATTTGATATTTTAATTCATATAATTTAATTTATAATTTAATTCACATTCACATAGTATAACACATTCAAATCATTAAACAGGACTGAAATTATGTTAAAAATACATTAAACTAAATCTCAAATAGGCTATATTATAGTGACGGAAATCCCAATTTTACTTCAAACAACGTATGCTAATTTTACGGCTCAAGCACGACCGAGGGTCTCCTCGATCATTCGATCAAAGTTTATAAGGGAAGATCCTCCATTATTAATGGCAGCTTTAGCTTTCTTCTTCCATTCCAAGGACTTTTGCCTTATCCTTTGCCCATCATCTCCTTCCATCATCTCTCTAACAAGACTCTCCACTTCGTCACGCTTTACGTCTGGGTTGATTTCCATGGCAATGCCCCATGTGTAACATGCATATCGACAATTCGTCTGTTGATCTGCGGAGAAAGGCCAGAAAATTAAAGGCACCCCTTCCGAAACAGCTTCCAATACAGAATTCCATCCGCAATGTGATAAAAAAAGTCCAACCGCTGGGTGGGACAACACTTGCTGTTGGGGACACCAGCTTGTGATGAAGCCCCTTCCCTTTATTTCCTCCGTGAATTCTTTAGGCAAAACAGCCGATTCACCCCTTACGACATCGAGTCTCACTATCCATAAAAACGGGTACTTACTGTTTGCAAGTCCCCAAGCAAATTCTTTTAGATGATGGTTTGACATCACTGTTACACTCCCATAATTCACATACAAAACTGAGTTGGGCTCCATTGTGTTAAGCCATTCGATGTAGCTTGCATCTTCCTTCCATAGGCTTGAATTTAGCGAGTTGTGCTGGATTTCGGGTATGTTAATGTTCCTACAGAGCGAGGCAAGTGGACCAATTGCATAAATATTTGGGGTTTTGTCTGCAAGAATTTGTAGCACTTCTTTGTCCAACCCATCGAATGTGTTGAAAATTATTGAAGAAAATTCTAAGCATTCTTGTGATACTTCCAAGCAGAAATTCAACATGATGTCTTTGGGGTCGGTGGTTCTTATTATTCTCGGCATATCCTTGAGGCGCATATTAGGCATACCGGGGATATCAATCGGCATCTCAAGTGTCCCATCGCTAATAAAGTGTTCATCTGCAAGGAATAATAACATAAGATAAACAGGTGATTAAGTGAAAAACTAAATGGAAAACTTAAAATAATTTGTATTTTTAACCTTTGAATGGAACAACGCCTGTTTGAACAAGTTCTTTGCACTGAAGAAGTCCCATAAAGCTAACAGTTGAAGAAGTCCAGAGTTGAACATAAGGCAACCCAATGAGTTGAGCAGCTTTGGTTCCACAAGTCATGATTGCATCAGAAAGTATGCAAGTAACAGGCGGCACTTGGGGTGAGGAATTCAACTTAGAGAGTAGTTCCAAGAATGGTGTGAAACAATTTCTTCGTGTGGAATCACATAGTGGTGGAACAGGCTGAGTTGCATTGGCATCAGAAGGTGGCAGCCCATCGGGGATGGTTTCGAATTGGAAATTCGGCAGACCTTTAACGGCTTCTACCCCTCTAGACCGGATCAATCGTCTATGGTTGAACTCGGTGTTGACAAAGTTTATATGGAAGCCTCTTGAGTGCAAGAGCTTAGCCAGTTGCATCATGGGGTTAATATGGCCTTGTACCGGGAATGGAAGGCATACTGCATGTGAATTTGAAGCCATCTTTGAGGAAATAACAATTAAGCGATGAACAGAAGTTAATATTCAAATTCAATATGATGACTCTCCCTTACTGACAGAAAATGAGGGGATGGGGGTGGGAGCATAAAAATAATAAAAGCCATTATGGCAATTAAGGGGTGGGTGGGACTTTGGGAACATAAAAATAGTAAATGCGAATGGCAATTAAGGCGTGTCTATAAGATTTTTCCGAATCTTGTGGCCTGCTTGATGCCCAACGTTATGGAGTAAGGGTATGATTGAATTGACTTAAAAAGTTGCGTTACTTGAGTCGGAGGGTTTTATTTATTACTTCAATTTAATTTTTTAATTAAATAGAAATAAATTTATAAAAATAGTATAAATTAAATTTTATTGACAATATAACTAAATTACAAGGTAGAGAAAGAAATTTTAAATTATATATTTGAAAATTCCTTTAAACAAAATAACAAAAAACAAGATATTGTAATATGATAAATTGATTTGATAATTTGTCTTTTAAGACTTTAAATTTATCAAGTTTTAAAAAATTAAAATTAATTTTTTTTTTATATTTTTATAAAATTTTAATTTTTATATTTTATATATTTTCTTAAAATTTTGTAAAGAATGATTTATTTACATTTTTTTCAAAATTATCAGAGACCCGAGTGGTGTTTTAAAATTTGTTACTTTTAATTTATTCAATTTATTTTTCTTTTAAGGGTCTGTTTGTTTTACGTAAAACGTTTTTCTCATTTTCTAGTGTTTGGTTGGAGGAAAATTGGTTGGTCAATGTAAAACATTTTCCTGGTCAACAGAATTTCCTTTGTGTTTTCTAGAAAATGACTTACGGTCTGATTTTTCATAAGTCATTTTTCGAACTTTTCACTTCAAAGAATAAATACTCAAAATAATTTTTATTTTATGAATTTAATATTAATAAAATATTTTAATATCATTTTAATCAAAATATTAATTATTAAAATATTTAAAATATATTTATTAATATTTATAATAATATAATATAATATTTTTATTATTATAATAAAATAATCAATTATATTATAATAATATAAGATATTATATTGTTATTTAATAATATATAATAAATTATTAATAACATTTATATTATTTATTAATTTCATAGAAATAATATTATTAAATTATTAATAATGAATAATATTATTTATATATTTAATATTAATATAATAATCTAATAATATTTTAATAAAGATATTTAAAATATACTAATTAATATTTTTAAAATATAATATAATACTATTACTTTAATAAATAATTAATATAATTTATAATATTTTTATTTCAATAAAATATATCAATATTTTTACTTTTTATTAATAAAAAATATAAAAATAATATTTTAATAATAAATAAATTATTTTAATATTTTAAAATAATAATATTAAATTTTATGATAAATAATATTATTTATTGTATTTAATATTTGTAATAAATAATTTTTAAAAAATTCATCCATTAGTGAAAAAGGGTTTAAACAATATATTTCAAACATCGTAAAACGTTTCCAGAAAATATTTTTAAAAAATGTAATTCGTTTTACCGAAAATATTTTTCGAAAAATGACCCTAAATTCATTAAACGTTGATCATTCAAAGAACACACCATATTTCTAGCAAGCGTTGAATTTTCGTCGTGAAAACATTTGACGTGATTTTATTATTTGTTGGACACAATTTGATGTGTGATGCATCATCGATGGGTATGTTTGTGGCTCAGGCATACGTTTAATATATTGCTTGTTTAACCAATTGCAACCGACACGCAGGCCATCCATTAACCAATTCAAAGGCTCTGCTGATCAGAGGATCCACGGGCCACACATCTCAACTTCATAAACCAAGTTATAGGAGTTGTTGGTTGTTCTACGACACATGTAACACCCCAATTTAAGGGTTAAATTTATGAAATTATAAAGTGATAGATTTAATTGGTATTTTGAAAGAAACAGTGGATTAAACTATAAAATTTCAAAGTTGGCAGACCGTTTTAAGAAGTGCAGGAAGTTCAGTGACTAAACTCTTGGTTTACCCATTTTATATATGAGATGAATTATAAACCCCGTACGCAGGTTCAACATAAAGAAAAATTTCCAGTTTTCCCTCTCCAACAATCCTCCTTTCAACTCTGATCTACTCGCCGTCTAACCTCCGATCGACGAACCGAAACCACCATCGTATTCGTTGTCGACCGAGGAACAAAACCCCTCAAACATTTTGTTATGAATCGTCGTCGTTCGTCATTAATTTTAGTCGGAAATATCGTTGGTAATAACTCGATTTCAGTTGATTTTTCGTCGATTCGCGACGATCCGTTCATCCGTTTATGATACCTCCCGCACTATCGTGTTCCTTATATCGTTCCGAGTCCACCGGTGTTCTCCGTTTCTCCGTCGTTGCCAGCATGAGGAGGAGTGAGACCGTCAAAGTTTTCGACGTTTCGAAATCGAGCTCTCCGTCGTTCAAAATTGTGAATCGAGCTTTGTAAGTGCCTTAAAATCGCTTAAAATAATTTTTAGGAATTTTTCTAGGAATTTATAGAATTCGGGTATTGTTCACGCGCCGCACGCGCCATCCCCCGAGAGTGGGCATCGTCTAGGTGATAATTTAGTAATTAATTTATGTTTGGGTGCTATTTGTGTAAAATTCGGGTGTTAGTTTAGTAAATATTTGCAAAATATGGCTAATTTGGTAATTAATTTCTGTTAGGGTGATATTTGTGTAAAATGATCGACTGTTTACCGTGGATCGTTGACCACAGTTGACCAGAACTTTGACCGGCTTTGACCGGGCATTAAACGACCTTTGACTTTGACCGAGTATACCTATCTTGACGTTTTTCGCGTTCCAAACCCGATTCCGCAGTCCCTTTTTCGAAATTCAGACCCGAAGGCCTTGAAATTGCCACCCGTTGACTTTAATTTTGACCGAAAGTTTCAAATTTTCGAAAAGTCATATTTTATGCTTTCGACGTCCTGAATCCGAATCCGAATTCTGTTTCACCAAATTCGAACCCGGTAAGTTGTTTTTCACTGATTTATCATCTGATTCGATCCGTTTTTCAGAATTAAGATCTATTTTTTATGTAATTTCTCTTGGTATGGATCCGAGGAAATATTGGAAGATGATTTCAAGATTGAGGGCGTTCGAATGGAATTTAATGGTCGATCAGTATTGCACGGAAATCGAGGTAATACTTTACTACCTCTTTATGTTTATTAGAATATGTTGATATTAGTAAATGCATGAATAAGATAATGTTGGTCACTTTTGTGGAGTTGATTAATTTCTACACTCGATCTGAATATAGTAAAAAGGTTCAGTAACTGATTATGGTTCAGATGACTTTTATAAGAAACTGGGGAATTGTTAGAATTAAAATTACAAGTTATGGGTTTAGTGATAAAGGAATCGGTTTAGATCTGTATCATATAATTTATTTCATCAAAGGTATTTGGATGGGAAATTATGAGAATATTCTCATTGTAACCCCCACAGACCGATGCGGGTAACCCGATCCGATCCGGAAAGTCACATTAGGGCCACCGGAGCAACCCACTGTAAAAATAGCGGAAAATTTAAAACTTTTTATCAGAACATGTAAACTTATAAAATCAGTTTTCACTATTTAAAAATAAAACAGATTTCCAAACTCGTATATAAATCAAAATACAATTACATGCCCCCTAATCACATGTACCATACTCTGCAACGACACCGGACGAACTCCCTTACTGAAGTCGATAGATGCACTGGTACAATTCTTTTAACCTGAAAATGTGAGTAATAGAGTGAGCTTTGGAAAGCTCAGTAATACAGAACTACCAGATGATGCTGATGAACATGCAGATACAAATAAATATATATTTCCTTATTTTTTCCGAACATTACAGATTTTTATGCTGAGCAGAGATCCTACTGATATTTCAGGTGGTAACGGACAATGAGATTTCAGTTCAGAGAAATATTTCGGATGACTGAGTTCGGGAGATCAGAATAGGTTTTCTAGTGTGTTCCCATAAAACCAGTAAAAAGATACAGATCTTTTAAAACATATAAATATATATATATATATACCCCCATCCAACAAGTCCAAATTGTGTAGGTTCCCCAGAACCATACACCCATCATCAAGTCCAGTAGGCCCTGAGCACACAGCCGAGGAACCGGTAAATAAGGCCCTGAGCACACAGCCGAGAAGCCTACAAGTATACTTCCTCCAACATTACCCCCCAAGTAAATATGTCCGTCTGTAAACGGATATATCAAAAATCAAAACATAAATCAGGTCAAGTATCATATCAAACTCCAGGTCAAGAATCATATCAGAATCCAAGTCAAGTATCAGATCAGAATCTATGTCAGATATCAGATCAGAATCCATGTCAAGTATCAGATCAGAATTCAAATCGAAAATCAGATAAAATATTCATGTGAGTAGGGAACACACCAGAATTTACAGATAGTATTCAAATATATTGGATAATCTTAACAAGTAGAGGAATACGGATCTTCAGTATACCGATAGAATATCAGAATTCAGAATCACTATTGAAAGAGTTCAATGACTGACAGAATCATCAGTTATTCAGAATGTGACTTGATCGGATTATCAGACAACTCTTAGATGAATAGTTCCCAGAACTAATGCATGTCGATTGGTCAATTCATTGTTCTTCCAGTGTATTTACTCTTTAATACCACAATTCTTGTCCATAGACCATTTTCGGAATCATCGTTGAATAAATCTTCCAATGTCTTTATTTCATTTCCACACTTCCACAATATCATGAAATGCTGACGTACTTGATTAATTTGTTCATAACCCATTGTAATTCTACACTACGTAAACTCATCAGAGTTTCCAGACTTATCCAAATCACTTACTAAATCCACAGTCATTGAGGTTACCTATTTTATTTAGCAGTGATCTCCATTCCAGTTACTTCAGGATTTTCCAGAGTAATTCAAATGTTCCTGAATTTCAAATACATGTTGTACTT